GTCTGCTTCTCTTCCTACCCATCCCTCCTGCTCTGCTCTCGCTCGCTATCTCTCTTTCTCAAATAAATAAATAAAAACCTTCAAAAAATTATTTGCTACCTATTTTTCCAGGATAAATCCTAACTTACATCACACAAATAGAAAGAATGACTACTTTTAATTACTGGACTATACTAAGGAAATACATAGGATGAGATCAGAAATATGTGCACTTTTTTTTTTTTAACTTAAAATGTCCATTCAGATTCTTGATACATTTTGACACTATACTTTGGGGAAAAAACAAAAAGGTCTATAAGTCTCAAGTCAGAAGTGAGCACCTGAACTATTAATTTACATTTTTTTTCTCTAGCAAACAAGTGCAAATATTCTAGTTGTTTTCTCTAGTCATTACTACATAGTCTGAATAATCTTATGAAAGATAATGACATGGTCATCTTTGAAATAATACTAATTCTGAATGAAGGAGTTGATTTCTGGAGTAGTAGAGAAAGGAAGCACTTGTCAAAGAATCAAGCACAATTTCCGTGAAAAGGAAAGATAGCATCTCCTGTTCATACATAACCTGTGTTACCTGATCGTTAGAAAAAAGAAGAGCTTAGTCACAAGCTGTACAGGATTTAGTCATAGCAACTCACCATATATTGTAAAAATTTCCTTTGTTCTTTTCATGTTGTTGAAAACTTAAGACACTTGAAAATAAATCTTAAGCTAACCCAAAACTAAAACATGTTTTTAGACTTGTGTCTCATAACTCCTATGGTAACAACCTGTTAATATAAACAATTTGAGTTGTTGACCCTGAGATGGCAATATAGATTGAAACAATGTAGAAATAATTACAGTGTTATAAAACGTACTTTTGTAACTAAAGAAATCATAGAATTTGAGTGTGCGAAGAGATAATGAAATGGACTACATTTGTTTGTTACTTTGGAACTGAAATCAATCGTAAATATAAGCATTACTCCAAATTTGTCTTCTTAACTTTTAAAAAAATGCAGATTACTAGTCCACAACCCAGAAGACTCTAATCCAATAGACTTGGGACAGTACATAGGAAGGTAGGTAGATAGATAGATAGATAGATAGATAGGTGGATGATAGATAAATGATAGATTTTTTTTTTTTTTTGAGAATCAGAAACAGAGAGAGCATTTGGGGGGGGGGGGTTTGCAGAAGGGAGGGAAAGTGACAGAATCCCAAACAGACTCCACACTCAGTCAGGAGCCCAATGCCAGGCTCAATCTCAGGACCCTGAGATCATGACCTGAGCCAAAATCAAGAGTCTGACTCTTAACCATCTGAGCCACTGAGGCTCCCCTAGAGATATATATGTCAAACAAACAAAAAAATCCCCAGATTGTTGTGACACACATCATAATATAGAGCCATTGATCTAAACTAATAGTTCATTTTTTAAAAAGAAAAGAAAAAAAATGTGAAGGTGTTAACTGGTCACCCAGATAGCTATGATAAAAGAAGATGGCACACAGTGTACCTGAGTCTGCTTCCAGCATTCTTCTTATCATACAATACTGCTCTATTAATTATGAGATATGTTATTACAAAAGGGACCCTTTTACTTCAATAAATGTACTTTCACTAAAATTATATTGATAGCTTAAAAAGAAGCAAAATTGAGCATGTTACTATTTTTATTACCCCAAATATCTCAATCTTTACTAGGTAGATCATATGCCTGGTCTTATTTTCCCTTGGTGCCCAAATCACAATATTGCAAGCTCTCTTTTTTACAGAAGAGAGTCAGCATTCACAAGGTCGCCCTTCCCAATTTGATTCCGGGGAGATTTTTACCTTTTTTACACATATGCATTAAATGTTTATTATTTCACCCAGGATGGTTCTAGAAGGTAAAACTGAATTACAAGAAGTTGAGTAGCTTGCCCAGAGTCACACAGGAAATAAGCTCAAAGTCAAGGCTTTCCCACACACGCAGCCTGATTCCTACATTTACCTAATCCCACACTACCTTCTAGGGCCTAGGTGGTACTGGAGCTTTTGGCAAAACCAGTCACCTCCTCAGCAAAGTGAAAGGAGCCCTCCCAATCCCTAGAGGTTGAGGTTCCACAGTCCCTCACCTCCCTGCTGGTTTTAAGGTGCTGTTGTTGAGGCACTTCCCTCAGGAAAGCCCTGCAGAGCCCACGGTTTGAAGCTGTCTTGTCAAGTATGACTGGAGAGAATTTAACCACCAAGATTAATCCCTGTGAACGCCAAGGAGCTGAGAGAACCACGGCTAGTCATGTGGTATCCTTTTTATCCACAGGATAAAAAGCACCCTGAGTTGGGGATGGAGGGGATGGGGGTACTTTTCTAGAAGATCTCTCCTGAGTTGAGGAATTACAAAATGTTCCCCTTCTGGCCTGAGGTAGCACGCCCCCCCACCCCGCCCCCCCACCCCACCCCCCCACACACACACCCATAACCTACCCAGATGCAAGACTCCTGGGTTTTCTTAAAATTGACCATTCCTCTCTCTGTTTTCTCCCATTAGAGATGTAAGCTTATTTTTTTAATCCAAAATTGTTTGCTTTAAAAGTACTTTGGCCACGGACAACGTTCTAGCTAGAGTATTTCGCCTTAGAGACAGAGATTCTTTGCAACTGCCAAGAACATATGGACTGTGTAGCCATAAGGATTAAATGATATTGTGCACAGGGGAATACCAAGTTTCACCACGGTACCGCCAGGACCAGCAGTAGATTTGATTATATTCCCGGCTAAAAAAAGAAACAAAACCAATGCTCTATCGTGTTTTCTTTCCATTCCGTGATAAACTAGACGGTTCTGCAGAATTGTCACCCTTCGGGGAAGAAACACCTCCGGTCTCAGCTGGAGGAAGTGGTGCACCCACAGTAGCGATTTTTCCCTTCGCAAGGGCGCAGGGGAGCAGGGGCAGGGGTGGGGGCGGACTGGCAGCGGATCGGCTTCGGGTGCCCCCGGGTCCGACGCGCAACCCCGGCCCGCCCTCCCGCGCGACCCGCTTGATTGCGGTGGCGCTGTGCTGCCGGGACTGGAGGAGGAGAGGAAGTGGCCGGGGCTTGGGAGCTCTGCCCGTCAGGCGAGTTCCCGGGATCTCTGGGGCTCTGCGAGGCCCCCTGCTGGCCTTCAGCTATCTTCCCCGTCTGGAGCTGGGGGCCCAGATGCCCCGGCATCCCGACTGCCCCTGAGAGCAGCTGGGGGCTGGCCTGGCGAGACCATGGAGGCGCCTAGGAATCCCGGAGGGAGATACCCGCTCTGGATTCCCCCTAAAGAAAGCCACAGGTGATTTGGACAGGGCCGATTTGGGTGAAGGGGTAAAAGAAAAAGCAAACACTTAGCCAAATGGGTTCAGGAGAGAATGGAAGGGATGTGAAGAGGGGCCTATAGACATTCTTTTCAAGAGCTATGCACCAGAACAGCTGGGAACTGTAATCAATGCAACGCAGTCGTGATTAAAGCTGTTTATTTAACCCGAAACGATCCTTAGCTTTTCTAGACCCTGGTTTATGTTAACTTATTTAGGAATTAAATCAGTTAGCTAAAAACCATTTGTTTTATTCCTGGTGTCAGAGGACAGAGGCAGGACTGGACCATGGAAATTTCCACGTGGGTAGTAGGAACCAGAAAGGAGAGCCCCGAAGGAGTAGAGCTGAAAGGCAGTAGAAAACCACAGCTGTGTGTAGAAGAATGAAACTCCACCATTCTCTTACATCATACACAAAGATGAACTTGAAATGGATAAAAGACCTCAACCTGAGGCAGGAATCCATCAGAATCCTAGAGGAGACCATAGGCAGTAACCTCTTCAACAATGGCCACAGCAACTTCTTTCATGATATGTCTCCAAAGGCAAAGGAAACAAAAGTGAACTTTTGGAACTTCATCAAGATCAAAAGCACAGCAAAGGAAACAGTCAACAAAACAAAGAGGCAACCCACAGAATGGGAGAATATATTCAGAAATGACACTACAGACAAAGGGCTGATATCTAAGATCTATTAAAAAAAAAAAAAACCTCCTCAAACTCACACACAAAACAGATAATCACGTCAAAATATGGGCTGAAGACATGAACAGACACTTCTCCAATGAAGACATACAAATGACTAACAGACACATAAAAAAATGTTCATCATCACTAGCCATCAGAACCACGTTGAGATACCACTTACACCAGTTAGAATGGCCAAAAATAACAAGACAGTAAACAACAAGTGTTGGAGAGGATGTGGAGAAAGGGGAACTCTCTTCCACTGTTGGTGGGAATGCAAGTTAGTGCAGCCACTTTGGAAAACATTGTGGAGCTTCCTTAAGAAACTAAGTATAGAGCTTCCCTATGCAATTGCACTACTGAGTATTTACCCCAAAGATACAGATGTAGTGAAAAGAAGGGCCATCTGTACCCCAATGTTTATAGCAGCAATGGCTACAGTCACCAAACTGTGGAAAGAACCAAGATGCCCTTCAACGGACAAATGGATAAAGAAGATATGGTCCATATATACTATGAGGTATTATGCCTCCATCAGAAAGGATGAATACCTAACTTTCGTATCAACATGGTTGGGACTGGGAGAGATAATGCTGAGTGAAATAAGTCAAGCAGAGAGAGTCAATTATCATATGGTTTCGCTTATTTGTGGAGCATAAGGAACAACATGGAGGACATGGGGAGATGGAGTGGGGAAGTGAGTTGGGGGAAATTTGATGGGGAGACAAACCATGAGAGACTGTGGACTCTGAGAAACAAACAGGTTTTTAGAGGGGAGGGGGGGTTAGGTGAGCATGGTGTAGGTATTAAGCAGGGCACATATTGCATGGAGCACTGGGTGTGGCGCATAAACAATTCTGGACCACTGAAAATGAATTTTAAAAAATAAATAAAAGTTAAAATAAAATATGCTTACAAATAAAAAAAAAAAGAAAAGAAAAGAAAACCACAGAATGTTCTTCATGAGCTTTCCCAAGGCACACCATGCTGACAATCTTCTCATTATCTTATTTACATTTTGCCACCACAGGCCTCTAGATCTCTACTCTGTTCATCAGAGAGGAAACCTTACCAGGAAACATAGTAGTGGTGTTCACAGAAAAACAATGCCTAGTTGGCCAGCAGAATAATCTGTGAAGAAAGACATACAGCTGTAGTCATGACCCAGGATCCAAAAAAAAGATGAGGACTTGAACAGTCCCTGGCAATGTCCACAGTTCTTAGTTGGCTAACTAGAAAAGGAATTTTTTCTGCAATTATATTTGTATGTTATTCCTTTGTGTGACATAACAAAAAAACAATAATAACCTATTGTCAGAAGGGTGTTTTGAGTCATTCATTGAGCAATTACTGGTTGCTTCATCTTTTGTTCCTGGGAAACATGACAAGTCCTTCTACCTACAGCACTTACACAAGAAGGTAAGCTTGAGTCCATGTTGAAGAGGTAAAGCCTGAGATGAAATTGAAGTCTTCACTGGAAAACACTTCAAGGTGGATTGGTGTGCAGGAAATGGAGGAGGGTTTTCTGAGTTGTGGAAGCTATGTTTCTGCCACATCCCTCATTGCTAGGGCAGACCTAAGCTGCTACCGTTCTATAACAATGAAAGAAAATCTGAGAAAGTGAGTATAGAAGGGGTTTTTCAGGGAGAGAGAAATCAAGTCATTTCCAAATAATCTCCTTTTCCAAATAACCCAACCCCTCATATTCCTCTCTTCCTGTCCCATATCTCCTTCCATAGAATTAAGTTTGTTCCTATACATTTCTAGAAAATCCCATATATGCCAAATGCTTTGTATCTCCATGGGTCAGTTAGATAGGGTTGTAATGAAGTATTATCTCCTAGGCATCTTGGGGTGAATTAGCAGAATTGGTAAAGGATTTTTTCTTTCAGAAACTCAGAAAATCACTCAAATATACTATTGGAAGTGCTGACAATTTAATTCTGCTTTTTTTTTTTTTTTCAAGTTTAGGAGTATGACCTGCTCTTCACAGTGGGCCTTCTCTCTGAATGTCCTCAGTTCCATGACAAAGCATTGACCAGAACTTGGCTCTTAACTATATGCAGGCAATTTTTACTGTCACCCTGTGTTGGTTGCTCAACAACATCCCCAGTCACCATAACAAATCCTTCATTACAAAGCATTAGCAGAACACATGTGTTACTGAAGATTTATAGGAAGCTTCATTAAAGGAGAAGTTCACAGTGCATAGCCGACACCATTTAAAAAAATACATCATTTCTTATTTCTGTGTCATTTCTTATTTCCTTGAAAGCTGAGCAGACAGCTAATTTCCTTGATCTCACCCATGCCCTATATGTGTTACTCTAGGAGAATGACAACCCTTTTAGGGCATATGGCTCCTGAAGTTATCCTACCCAGCAGCAAGCTTTGAGGTCAGACTGACAGTGTAACTACTAAGAACCTTTCTCCTTATCTTTCTTTAGTCACGTGTTTATTGTCTGTAACTTCTATTCTATTCTTCTCAACTTACTGTCTTAAAGAGAGCAAAAGGAAATTTGTGCTAAGGATCCACTTTGACCATAGATTTTAATACCATACCATGATGATGAAGATTTCAAGAAGAATACATACATGGGGCTGTACACCTCCAACTAAGGGACTCAAAGTGGTAAGCTTTTTGTGTTAAATACGTCTGCTTTTTATTGCTTGTTTTTTTTTCCTTCCCACTGTCATCCCTTGCTGCTCAGTCTCATGTTCGTCTCTAGACATATTTTCCTCCCTTCCTTCTCATCTACTATTGATAGCTTGTGAACTGGTCAGATAGTCAAACCCATTAGAATTGTGCGTAATATAACTACATAACTGATCTTGAATCAGGGTTCAAATGGGACATTCTTCTGAATAGTACCTATTGGCCTTATTTTGAGTATATTGTTTCAGCAGACTTTTACATAAAGTATTTATGTCTCTACCTATTACTTTATGTATTTTATTTTAAATGCCATTATGGGACTTTTTCCACAAATAAAATTTAATTAATCAAATGTTTTAATTCTTGAATATTATATAGTCTTTAGTGACTAAATGCAGATTTCTTAATGTGTAAAAGCAGAGTCAAAGACATCCTGGGGATGATTCAGTTAATAGGGTTCTATCTTTCCCTATTACAAATAAGCCTGCAAGGTACATCACTACACAGGTACTTATTCTAAGAACTTCTGTCCAGTAGAAAAGTACAAGTAGGATTGCAAGCATATATATATATTCTTCAACTTCAATTTTTCTTAAAAGTAATTTTAATAATGTATATTTTATTAAAAATGAGAATTATGGAAAATTATTAGTCATTGATTCCTCAAATATTGCCTCTCTTATTTTTTTTTTTTTTATTTTACTGTTTGCTCCTAGACTTCTTATTAGATATGTTCTGGAATATTCTCATTTTTTTTTAATTTTTTATAAACATATATTTATTTTTTCCCCAGGGGTACTGGACTGTGAATCTCCAGGTTTACACACTTCACAGCACCCACAATAGCACATACCCTCCCCAATGTCCATAACCCCACCCCCCCTCTCCCAACCCCCCTCCCCCC